AGCTGTCAAAGCACACTCCTGGCTCAGTCGGAGTGATTTTTATTCCGGCAGTGTTTCTCTCCGTGCTAACGGGCTGAAAAAACCCTGGGATCATCGTCAGCCGACGCGTGACGTAACGGGCCACGTGACTTTCTGGTCACGTGACGTGACGTAGGGCGAATACTGGGCCGTGACTGGTGCTGACAAACGTGCTGACGACAGACCGAACGCGGCCTTTATCAAACGATGACATATCACGAATAACATTTGCTAGGCTTTTTCGTCATATCTGATGCTTACTTCAATATGTTCAAATGTGGAACATTGTATTAAGGCATCATTACAGTTTTTAAGTTCGCATGAAAGTCCTCAATCCGTTCCAGTTCATGGCAATCATATCTACCCACTTTTAACGTCAAATGTTAAACGTAGCAAATTCAGGGACATGCATTTTTTAAAACGACGCTTGCTCCTTCATTGGTTTCAACTAATTTGTGTTGGCGGAATGACAGTACCTGTAATGTAGTACGTGTGCCACTATGCATATATATATATATATATATATATATATATATATATATATATATAACCCATTACGTTCATGCAGAGCTCCATTTGCAAATGATGCCTGGCGTTCACGAACGGCATGGTGCTTCAGGTGATGTCAGTCTGGCGACATCAGCGTGGGTGTCGAAACCCGTGCTCACCCAGTGTTTTCAAACTTGTTTTCCCCCACGCATTCGGCGAGAAGGCATTGATGAAGCTTTGAACCATCTAACACATCATTCGGCGCCTTGAGCTTCCTATTGTGCACCCGATCACCCGGCTACGATCCTCATCGTTGGGGCTTTACAGCACATTCACCTGCCTATCACTCACCCAGACAGCAAAGGAAGGAAATCAGGCTCCGTACCTCTGAATTTCTGTACGTGCAGTTAAACCCATACGCAGTCGGTACCAATCCGGCCACGATCAAGGACGCTAACACAGGTGCACGCAAGGGTGAAAAAGTGCCTTTCTGTTCCCGACGAAATTTGGAACCGTCTAGATTGTCACCTGGAGCCAAATATTTCAGAAACCGTTGCAAAATAACTCTGAATGCGATGCACCACAAAAACAAGGACGGGTGAAATGCAGTGCGGCATGATCATGAAACATTTTCGTTTTGAGAGTTTCGTTTGCGCTGAAGTATCATTTGCTGGCCATCGATCACTAAATAATGGTTGAGACTAAACTGATAAAACTATCAGATAAAGGCATTCTTAACCTAATTAGCCTAGCGGCGTATGGTTTATTATTGGGTTGAGCGGTCGTTCTTCCTAACCAGGGATGCAGCCCTCTAGTTTTGCTCATCATTTTTCTGCATAATTTTTTATTTCACCTAATTTTTAGGTTCAGCCCGCCAAAACTAGTGTTGAGAAACTACACCCATGCTCCCAATATACACCCCTGTTCCCCTACACTCCTGCTGAAAGGCCAGCGGGTCAAGTCCGGGAACAGAACTGTTTAAGTGCATTTCGGGGGCAGGCTCAGACATTTTTTCTTCCCGCACCTCCCGCCGCCCCCAGCCCTAAGCATTTTGCAACACTGCATCCCTGTACCCCTGCATTTACCGATAACATGGCTCAACAAGCACCTAAAAACAATATCACTTGGTTTCTTGACGTCATCCTGCAACCAGCTAGGAGCGTTGACGACCTTCACCGTCTTCGCATGATCATAACCGATGCAGAGCTCGCACTTCCTAAATGATCCGAATGATTTAGAGCAAAACCCATGCAATATTGGTATTAATTGATACAAACTACATTGTTGAACACCTTTTGCACCTACAGCACTCCTGTCATACTTAACGTGAAATAGTATGAAAATCAAAAGCGTTTTATAGCACGCTTGTCCATCAATAAGCACGCTAAGTGTGAGGTGTATAGGGCGGTGTGTGAGGCCCATACCAGCGATATCCGGCCTCTTACCTCAAAGCCGCTGTCCTTCTCAGCAGCAGGAAGCCTCGGAGGAACCCTTGACATGTGTCGCTCCAAAGCCCTCCGTTTGCCTTTTGAAGCTACAGCTCAGGTTTCCACAAACAGAATCCTCCTAGATCAGTAAAGCTTTTAACACTATTACTAGGGACCTCCTCTATGGTAGATCCTCAGAAAAGCCACACAGCGCCTTGAAAATATCGCGATTAGCTACGCTCTTCTAGTCAGCCAAATTATCATGACATGAACACATCCAACAGCAGTCCACAAACCTGCACTGAGCCCAATTTAATACCGCGTGGCGAGCATTTGACCCCATCTGTCTCAAAGGTGCACGACGCTTTTAAGCGTCGCGTATTAAACTGATCCCGCTCGTCGCAAGATACTATGACCGGTCACGATTCTTGCGACTAGTAATAAACCCAGCTAATTGACGTTTTGTGCTGTGAATTACGTGCCGTGAATCTCGGCTCAAAAATATTTGAGAAACTGATCTGAGGGGTATTTGAAAAGCAGTGTGTCCCCACGGACCTTTGACGTCAACATTGGCATAGTGTAGTTTGTAGTATATTTCTGTCACCTGCTATAGGTATCCTGACCAAAGGTTCTATGCCTGACAGCGTCTTATTGCTCAGCCTGCTCCAACAGCGAAACTCCAACGTTTCGGCATGTGTTCCACACGTACTCACATGCTCATGTGCTCACACACGTGCATGTGTTAGCGGGTGCAGCCCAACGCCACGCTTTGGGTATCGTCTAGTTTGGATGGTCTGCTGTAATACGGCCTAGCCTGTTGTAATTTGTTGTCATTGTCGCAGTTTTGTCACCAATTGGCTCGCGTAAGTGTCCATTTTTGTCACCGATCAAATCCAGTACACCCGAAGTTTCTCACCCCTGCGTGACCGCCTGAATAGGGAACATAGGTAGGTATTCCACCATGCTCCCCGATACAGTGGCGGCAGTCAGTGCTGCGGCTTGTCCTCTCTATTTGCTTCCATTGTTTCTGACGCGTGTCACTTCAAACTTCATTGCAGGTTCATGTCACACCAAATCTGGTGATGCAACTGGCACCACATTGGCCCAAAGTGACAATGCGATACCCATATTTGGCACTGACGAGCCTGCGTGTCAATGCCACCATTCAATGCCGCCCTTTTGGATGTCATGTGAGCTTCTTTGTACAACACGAGACAATCCAAGATATGCGGGTGAGTCATTCAGCGCAAAACATCGTCAGTCGTTACTTATATATATATATATATATATATATATATATATATATATATATATATATATATATATATATATACGCACGCACGCACACACGCCATCCCCCCCCCCCACACACACTTACGCACACACTTACGCACCTATATGCATATATACTAGACGCGGGCATGCTCGACTGCCAGACGTGGGCTGGTATGGCCGGGTGTTGTTCAAGTTATTCTTCCACTTAGTACATTCGCCCGAATTGGTAAAATAATTGATCGTATTTGACAGCAAACTAATTCTACTTCAACGCATCTAACAGTGGTACGATAACACAGCAGACTGACTTGATTCCTAACTAAGCCATTCAGGTCAAATGACAGTACAAGGGCGAAACAAGGGTGCCTCCGGCGCCCTTGTTTGCACAGTAGTGGCGAATAGTGACATTGTCCGGCTAACAAGCTCCTCTTTACGTACATAGGCTGGTTACACAGCTGTTATGCGGAAACATCTGATCCCAGTCGGGCACGACCGGGTTCCATGGGAGTTTTAGAAACTAGACAAATCGCAGTTTTCTTGACAAGCAGAAGGCGATCAATCAGTGGTGTTACATAGTCACTTGATGCTGAATGCATTCCAATAAGTTGGAGTTCGCACTGACTGACGCAAGACAGGGAGGCACTGACCACCAAGGCAGGGAGCGTAAGCTGTTAGTGAGTCGGAACAACCTTCAATTGCGTGCAGGCAAGTGGCGTGCAGGCAAGTTTAAAAGGCACCATCTCCCATTCGCTGCATGCTGTCTGGTTGACGCGCGGGCTCGTGTGCTTTCAGATCTCTGGATTCTGCTTTGCCGGTACTGTACCAGATCGATCACGCCGGGTTGAAGTTCACGTAGCCGATTATGCATCACCAGGAACGCTGAAGCGCGACCGACACAGCTGCGTCCTTCACAGTGTCGCTGCGTTACCTTGGTGTTGCAGGGTACAGCTCGCTTAGTGACGCAGCGTTACCTTAGTGTCGCAGCGTACAGCTCGCTTAGCGACGCAGCGTTACCTTAGTGTCGCAGGGTACGGCTCGCTTAGTGCCGCAGCGTTACCTTAGTGTCGCAGCGTACAGCTCCACGTGCTAAGCGATCGCTTCCAACACTCGGTTTCCACCCTTTGAATGCGTGGGCGACAGCGATGACAGAGCGCCGGGCTAGACACACAGCCGCTTCAGACCAGTCTGGGTCATCACAGTGAGAACACTTCGTGAGCCCGTGGCGGCAGCAAAACATGACGTTCGCCAGCACTCCCTACGTCACGAGTGGCACCATGGGAACACCTCGCGGCAACACCAAGTGAGAGGACGAAGCCAGACACGCTGGCTCGTCTGTCTCGACGCCGCGCCGCTCGTCAAGAACCGGACATGTGATGTATTCCTGCATGGCCGCCTTCGATCCGCAGGTGTTATCGTTGAATATCCGTGGCACTGGTCTGAACGGGAGCTTGTAATGGTTTTCCGCCGCGGCCGCTTCCGATTTAAAGATGTCGCCCATGGTCGTTTGTTGCCTGTTACGACGATATGGAGTTGTTTTTTGTGTCGATGCTGGTTACTTATTTGTTGAACTCTGCTACCTATTGAACTATACGTCATAGTCGTTGTTTGTGCTTCGTTTTAAGTTGTTGCCAAACATATGAATACACAAAACGTGTCAGTACATTCCCATGGCGACATTTAATGTTGTGCTCAGGCGGGCGTTCTGAAGGAATGTCATAACTGACTTCCGCCGGTCGCGGGCCGGGCATCTTTTGAGCCATCCAGAGTATGAGAGCGTCACTTCACGTTACGTTACGTTCGCATGGTAACGTCCGCCTGTACGCCCAGCTCATATTCAGCCTACGGGGCGGGAGCGCTGCGAAGAAGTCGCCTACCACAGCTATACTTTTCTGCTCAGTGAGGGGGAGGGCTCAACCCAACTTGATGTCTCCTTCCTCCCCCCCCCCCCCGCAACCCGATTTTGAGAAGAAAGTTGGGCACATCCGGAGAGAGGCCAATTGGTTGGCGTATTGCGGGGGTGCGTTGTCATTATTCACATCCCAGCTCGACCCCCCCCCCCCCCCCCACCCACTGATTTTACGAACATACGCCCCTGTCGTCTATTGTGGGTCAATAATGACCGGCATAAAAGGCACAGCTACGAGTATCCGCCGCTGGCCTTGTTTTTCGAAACAATCGCATGGAATTTAGGAACGAAGTCTGCGACTGAGAAGATACAATACAGCCTTGCTGTCAGTTGCTGTTTTATTTGCTTCTAATACTCACCTTAATAAATATTCACTTGCCTTCTTAGCGACAACTAAAGCGTGCAGTTTCATGGACAAGCAGTTAAATAGGGGACACATCAAGACTGTACGCGTATCCAAAAAAAGCCCAAAACATCCGGTTACAAATGCAGCCCCAGGCTATCGTACCCCACACTCAAGAGTTACTCAGTTCTAGTGACTTCACAATGGTGGTTAAGTGTGGGGTGAATAATACCAGGAAGACTCGCCGCCACGCAAGAAGACCATCACACTCCAGGTTCGAGTTTCATAATTCAAACACAAACTGAAATGAATTGAAACAAGCCCTGGAGGCCACAGTACCAAACCGTGCAACAGACCACCGCTCTTCTCTCAAAAGTATTCCAGTCGCATCTGGGTATCACTTCTCAAGCCTCCAGCCCCACACGAGAGCTGCCCGCACAACTTTGGGACCAAACGCCGGCAACGACACCGAAGGCAGAGCACATAAGCGGCGCTGTAAATGCGGTGCAGTAGGCCCAGCCGGCCGGCGCCGGCGCCGGCCGTCGCGCTTCAGGCGGCGGCGGCGCTACTTCTTGACGGCGGCGAGGCGAGCGGCGAGCGAGTCGAGTCCCTGCTTGATGGTGTCCAGCGAGGCGGCGCAGTCGGCCTGCACCTGACCGAGGCGCGCCTCGCCCTGGCTCAGGCCCGCCTCGATCTTCTGCTGCGCCGACTCCAGCTGGGTCAGCGAGCGCGAGAAGTTGAGCGCTGCGGCGGACAGAGGCCGGTGCGCCGGTGAGCGGGGGCGCGCGTGGGCACGCCAGTCCGGTCACCGCCGACAGACGGAGACAACGCACGGCAGCCGGACGACACAGGCAGGGCGGAGCCGAGGCCAGGCTGCGGACCGCGCCGGGTGAAGGCCCTCGATGGTGAGAGTGCGTCAGCCACTATCAGCAATAAGGCACGCTAGCCATCAGCTTGAAACGTAACGTGTTACTTGAGCCCCGGCGCCTCACCCCGAGATAATATGGCAGTTGCGGCGATTGAAATTATGGAAGCAGTCAACACATTAATGGCTTCAAATGTGTGCGAGCCCTAGCATGGCTCAATAGGAAATGGAGAACAGGCTGAAATACAGAAATATGACCGCTATGCCCCCATTTAGAGCTCAAAGTCATCTACAGAGCACAGAACCGCCCAAACCGAAAAAAATAAGTCAAACTATTCTTATAAATAGTCGGCGACCAAACCTTAACGTACAGGCTCATCATGGCCGATTACTGAAACGTGATGTGCCTTGCTGTGTAATGCGTGCTAGCTTAAGATCGTTTACATGTATGAGTGATGCCTGACGCGTGATGCGCGATACCTGTTTACTTGAATGCGTTTGCAGGTGCACGCATTTTTTTCACGCATTCTAATTCTTAATGAGACATGCACTGCATCATAGTAATGGCTGGCAACAGCTCCACGTTTAATCTCAGGAATGTTGGTGGCCTGTAAAAGCCGTGGTTCGCCGTTAAAAAAAAGAAGAAAAATCGAGTACGATCATCGGCAGGCAATTTTGAATCGACTTCTGCTATTTGTTTCGATAAAGCCATGTTGCCGAAATATCAACGCATCAATATCTCAATCCTCCGGGTTTTTCTACGGGGAATAAGGCCATTATTACTGGCTTACCTAGAACAGAGAACAACAAACTTATGGGCCAAGCCATTCCGTTACACAAGAGTCCACAAAAGTATGCATTCAGCACGCTACGCAACAAATGACGGCTGGACGCAAGACTACCATCTTTTTACACTTACCGTGCCAAGAATGACACATATGCATACATTTCATAACCAAATGCAACACTGCATTGCCTACAGCTGCGCGCGTCACCCAATAACTGTTCTGGTCATCAGCTGCGCGCGTCACCTAATAACTGTCCTGGTCATCGGCTACGTGCGTCACCCGGTAGCTGCTCTGATCATCGGCTGCGCGCGTCACCCAGTAACTGCCCTGGTCATCAGCTGCGCGCGTCACCCGGTAGCTGCTCTGATCATCAGATGCGCGTCACCCAGTAACTGCCCTGGTCATCAGCTGCGCGCGTCACCCAGTAACTGCTCTGGTCATCAGCTGCACGCGTCACTTAGTAACTGCCCTGGCCATCCCGAGCCGCACCGTGATCATGCAGCGTCTGCAGAGAGTTGAGACGCTCCAGGATGGCCGGCAGCTCGCCCTGGACGCCGGCCGTCTTCTGCATCAGGTCGTGTAGCTCCGTGATCTGACGGCGAGCACGAGCTTAGGCGGATTGCAGTACCACACGATACCTGCTGAGACACGCGGTCCGTACCACATCACTACATAAGGAAAGGCTGGAGAAACCAGAGAGTCGGCTTCCGCATACTTTACCATGGGAAGCATTGGCACCACGCGGTCCCCACCACATGACTAATGCACAAGGAAATTTTGAAGAGTCCAGGAAGGGGGTCGACTTCCGCTTACTTTATCATGAGAAGCATTGGCACCACACGGCCGAAGTCACGGTAACATCACATCATCGCGCCGGACACTAGGGCTGGGCACTGGGGCTGTGCGCTGGAGCTGGAGCTGGACACTGGGGTTGGGAGCTAGGGCTAGTAGCTAGGGCTAGGCACTGGGGCTAGGCACTGGGGCTGGGAGTTAGGGTTAGGCGCTGGGGCTGGGCGCTGGGGCTGGGCGCTGGGGCTGGGCGCTGGGGCTGGGCGCTGGGGCTGGGAACTAGGGCTAGGCCCCGGGGCTGGGCACTGGGGCTGGGCGCTGGGGCTGGGAGCTGGGGCTAGGCGCTGGGGCTGGGCGCTGGGACTGTGCGCTGGAGCTGGGCACTGGGGCTGGGATCTACGGCTAGGCGCTGGGGCTAGGCGCTGGGGCTGGGCGCTGGGGCTGAGCACTGGGGCTGGGCACTGGGGCTAGGAGCTAGGACTGGGCGCTGGGACTGGGCGCTAGGGTTGGGCTGGCGCGTCATCGAGCATGGAACAAGTTCTCTGGGCAAAAACTGCGTCCCGTCAATACAGGAAACGCACACCATCCGTAGATCGCCGTGCAGTGCTCCTAAAAAATTGCCGCTGCCCCAAAAGCCATAACAGCTAGGAACACGTATTTGGTGTCAAAACACGCACAATTGGTGCCCCATACGCTGTTGAAAATTTGGGCGCGACTGCACGGTATACCGGAGATGTGTTCTCGAAAAACCTTGAGGGGGGCGTCACCCTTCTCCCCTTTCAGTCAACACAACTGTCAAAAACAGCCGCAGTGAGACTTACTGACAACTCACAAGCCATGCAGAGGACATGTCGGTAATGTGGACGGAACCGTCAAGAAACTCAAGTATCGGTATCTAGCACCCACGATCTGCGCGGTACGCATTCCAGCTATCTTGAGCTCAACAAGAGGCGGCAGATCCAAAAACGGAGAAACCTGTGTAATCACGGCGACTGTAATCACAACAAAGAGAACAGAACCTGTCCGTTCGACGCGACGTGAAGATATAGCTAACGATTCGATAGTTCAGACATGCTTCCTGGCAAATAAGCAGCCGTGCAAAAAAGGACTACGATGACGTTTATCACACGGAGGAGCAAAAGACTGACGAAACCTGATCTCTCACAAATCTGATGCAACAGGCCGTCAGATGTGACCGAAAAACGTCAACAACGGAATGACATTATCAGGCATCTGATGGCATCTTAAGACGACCGCAGCTTGAGAACTGGAGGGTCGTGCCCAGTTTAAGTGCCACTACACGGAAGCGGATCTATCTCCGCCATTCTTTGCGTCATTTCGCCGTATTACCTGTTTACCCCACTCTCACCACACTTGTTAGGGAACAGACTATGATCATAATAGGCCTGTGGTGAATGTCCGGAGCATGTGAGTCACTCCCAGGTGCTGACCACGCCAAGTGATGATATCGTATGCTGCTATTTCACTTCTATTTGGCGGTACCGAACGCCGCAGCACCACACCGCGTCCCGAGATCCTTTCTGTCTTTCCCTCACAAGGATGCAATGCTGCAAGGATACTTCTGAATAATTTCGAGTAGGTCTATATGCCAAGGGACATGCATCTGCATCGAATCGGACAGCCTCCTGAGCTAATTTTGCACATGAACATCACAAAGTCCTGCTAGATGGCAGGCAAACTGATTCATGATCGGTATTTTTCGGCTGCGCTAGATTTGCAAATATTTTTAACGCACTTCTTCGTCGCTATCTTTATCTTTCAGCCCAATCAAACAAAGGTATCACCGCGGTAACTTGTCCAGAGAAAAACGCACCCGCCTGGCACGCCCTGCAAGGCGGGTGATTCATGATACAGCCAGCTGGGAGCGGCCACTCAAGATCAAGATCATATCGTGTGAGCCTCACACTCCCCTGGCGCCCGGCTGAGAGCGTATCCACGTGGCACTGCACCGGCCTGATACAGCTGGGAACCAGGACATCTCCCTCTGACATCATGCCAATGCTCGGAAGCCTCGCCACCGGGTGAAGGGCAGCGCGGGGGGGGGGAGATAAAATTGTGCTGTTCTGTGCTGTTCATTTCCCTTTGAGCAACGGCCTGGTCACAGCACCTCACTCCGCAAGAACTGGATAGCCTTATCCTCCGTCTTCCTTCGCACCCCAGTACGGAGCCCATGTCACCGCCGGTCGCCGCCGTCACCACGACGCGGCGACTCACAGTGGACAGTTTGTCGGCGTCGACGCCGGCGGCGCGCTGCTCGGCCAGCTGGTTCATGCGCTGGTGGAGCGCCTGAAGGCGCGCCTCGGCCGCCTCCAGCGTGGCCGGGTCCAGCAGGGCCACCTTCGAGCTGAGAGTGGCCACGGCCGACAGCAGCGAGCGCTGCCGCGTCTCGGCCGACAGCCGGCTCTGCAACGACGGGTGGTGGGGTCCGGTACAGACGTACCCGCACGACCACACGGGGAGACTGAGGCGGCGGAGCAGACGGCGCGATCTAAGCACGCAGGAGTATGACACAGACACTGTGTTTTCACAATATTACTGCATACTTATAAGACCATCGTCACGCGTACAAAGCAAAGATCACAACAATAGAAAACTAGACGTCCAACAACGTCCCAAATATATAGCGGCTTAATATCATGTGTCTGCGCTGAAGAACCAATGTTGTGAACCTCAATACCTGTGCAGTCCCCAGAAATATTAACACATACAAACTAGCTAGGTCTGTGCTGATGAAGCGATCGGCATCATAATAAAATACCTGGAATTGCAACGTTTATTTAACTATTTCGTGACTTTTCCAGTTCTAAATCAATTCAATAATATCACGTTGAGATCAAAGAAAGCACCTTTACATCAGACTATGTATTTCAGAGGATATCTAGCATATCTATAGAGCGCATAGATATAGCATATCTATAGAGCATATACAGGTCATCTTCTACTGCCGATGGCCCGACCCAGCGTCCGCGGACCGCCCGCAACTGACCATTTTCTCTGGCGTGGCGCCCACGGCCCGCTCCATGCGCTCGAGCCGCTTCTCCAGCTCGCCGAGCGCCGACGCCTGCTGAGCGCGCACCTTCTCCGGGCGCACGTGCAGCTCGTAGGTGGCCCCCTCGCCGCCGGCCGGGGCGGCCGACTTGGCGGCTGGCGCGGCCCCGCTTGCTAGCTGGGACAGCTGCAGCTCCAGCTTACTGAGGGGGGGGAGCTAAGACTGATACGCCAGGCTGCAGCACGACACAGGTGGAGAGCATGATAGGCGATACGTGCATGAAAAGCAAGCATGAAACACGATTTCAGAGCTGCAATGAGCAGACCATCGCACTTATAATACGATACCATTATACGATCATACGGCAACAAATGCAAAACCGTTACAGCCACGAGGCCCATCACGATGAACACGACACGCACGCCGGCCCCCGCTCCCGGGAGCGCCCGACGGGAGCGTCTCGCTCTGCTGACCTGCGCAGCGCGCCCTGCGGGTCGCCCAGGGCGTTGAGCACCTGAGCGCCGAGGAGCTGCTCGAGGTTGACCTCGGCCAGGTGCCGGTGCAGCCGCTCCACCTCGGCGCCGATCTGGGCCGACGAGCGATCCGCCTCCGACGAGTCCGGCTGCAGGCCCGACTGCACGCCTTTGGGGCAGGGGAGGGGGAGGGAGGTCAACGGCGGCGGCGAAAGGCCAGGGCGACGCCGGACGGCGAGAGAGCGCGGCGCCGTGATGCACGTTTCCAGTAGTACCGGAGGCGCTGGACGATAACAGGCCACGCATATCAAGTACAGAAGTAAGCGGCGCATCACCTCACCGTTCCAATAAAACGTTGTCAACGATGGGCGGCAAGTTAACACGCACGCCTGATAGCAATTATCGCCGATGAAGTGCTGGGCGCATTTTCAGCGCTACTTCTGTACGTGTGTGACGTCTGCGCGGCAGCCACCAGTGCACACACGTGGTCGCACTATACTGCAGCAAACCGTACCGATCCTGGCAGCTGTCGAACCTACGCCCACTCACTAGCGATCTCCTCGTCCAGCTGCTGCACCTCCAGCTTCAGCCGCTGGTACTTCTGCACGACGGTCTCTGGCTCGCCCTCGCCGGCCAGCTCCCACTGGCCGGTGCGTGCCGCGTAGCCCGTCTGCCGCGCGTGCAGGGCACAGGCTCAGGCCGGCGGGCTCGGCAGCCCACATGCGCCACGGCGACATGACTCCGAAGGTGACTACGCTACACACGCATCAGCTCCAGGAGAATGACTGAGCCGCGCACGTAACAAAGTCAAGGTTCGCCTCTGAACAGCACTTGGCTTCAGAAAATATATACTGCCCTTGTCATTGGGCTTTTCGTCGAGCTGCCCCACGCCCTACATCCTGGCGGGAAGAGCGGCCACCGCGGGAAATGAAACCCACACCTCTGGTTTCAGACACGCAGCCTAACCACTTCTCTATCGGTACCCAACGAAATATATAATGGCAACGATATCTCATCACAGCTACCGGGATTACAATACGACCGAGCGTTCATACACGTGGGATCACCGTTGGAAAACAGCACCACCGGTTGGATAAAAATGACTGGCAAACGAGCCTGCCCGTGCTCACGTTCAGTCCTCTTCGGAGGCGATCTGAGAAGTCCGCCTTCTGGCCATCCAGGCTCTTGTCTTTGAACTTGTTGAAGGCCTCCGTGGCGGATACATGCAGCTTTTCCACGTTCTCGCTTTCGTCCTGTAAAAAATCGCATGACGTGTTAGTTTAATCCACTGCGGATGTACGCAGGCTTTTGTATCTCATTATATAAGTTACCCCCAAACGGTCATTCAACTTATCGCAGTCCCTCAGTCCCTGTCGACAAAATCAGCTTACATGAAGGACAAAACAATCCCCAAAGCTCCATCTGTCGACTTAACCCTAACTCCTGTCGGGCACTCAAACCAAAAGATAGCCCGGCGCCCAAATAAGCACGTATGAAGAAAAAACACTTCCTGGAGCATAATATGTCGACTTTCCCACCAGTTTTAGCGAACACTCGATCCAGAAAGCTCTCCAAGTACCGTGTTCACTGAAATCTTGCCGCAAGTCGTGTTAAGGATATGCGATAAAATGATGTCGTCACGCTTACACGAAACTCGCAGATGTATTTGACCACCACGAATCAGCTGAAATCACGAACAAATGTTCTGACCACGCTGAACATCAGCCACCCACAGGGCTGAGGAATGTGAACGGATAGCGCAAGACTAGCTGCCACAAACATCTTGTAGGACGTACGTCATAATCGGCATCCTGGTCGGCCTCCGGTCGCTCATCCGTCTCAAACGTATCTGGCTCGTCATCAGGAGCCTGCAGTGGTAGAATGCGACAGTGAGCGGCGTGGTGGCAAAGTCTTCGGATTAGCATCGCAATGTCCCGGGCTTCCCTATGTGGTTATAAGTGACTTGTGACACGCTGACAGCATGGGCCATCTCGGGCCTGCCGGGCCATTTTGGGCCCGGGGTTTGCCTCACAAGCGTTGAATTTATAAGGGCATTTTTGGCATTATTCCCGTGATGAGTCACCCCCTACACCGCCTGAAGCCACGGGGACCATTTCTGAATCCGACTAACATTGCACGGCGAGGTAAAAGTGGTATATTAAAGACACCTATGCATCACAAACCAAGATACGCCTTCGCATCGTCAAAACAAACCAAAAAGTCAGAACATGCCATCAAGAGCGGTGGGGCGTCATGACGTCTACTGAGTGTCAACACCTGATGGATGCTTTAGATGTCGAGATGCGTCACTGATTGATGCCGCATATATGCAACGTCATAGTCGAGACCATCCCCATAACTCAATGGGTTAGAGCGTCCCCACGCCCACTCCCCGCTCCATCCGTGGCAGGATGGGTGGATTTGAGTTACTTCGGTGCTCCTGATTTCCTCCTCACCGGATGGGTCCGCTGCCGCTGACAGCAGTCGCCCAAGGCCGCTTAAAGTCAGAGGGCGGGGCGGACCACACTGAGCATTGTGATACACTCAAATCTTGTCGAAAAGCTACGCTGTTCAGCTGGAATCTCACAATCGAACCATGGAATCATGTGGTCATGTGGAGTTACACAAGAAGCATTGCTTATAGTGAGCACTCATTGCAGAAATCCAACAAAAAGGTCAAACTGAGTTTATAACATACAAAAAAGCATTAATTTAAAGACTGGCAACAAATAAGACATCTCTTATCACTTCACTGTCCAATCAATTTCAGCTTTGTCAAGCACATGAGAACCAATGCACTTACCAGACCTGGAAGGTTTGCATACTTTGGGTCAGCCATTACGTAATTCCACAAGTGTCTGTCACTTGCACAACAGCCTGCAAAAAAGCAAGTTATTAGATCTAAGGAAGTGTTCCACATCTGCAAGGGTTTTGAGCTAACATAGCCATTTTGAAGGCAATTCAGTGCAGTGTACAACCCTGCCCTTCTTGAGACCTAAAACCCACTTGTTTCTGAGCTGCAAGCCCGCGAACGTGCGCGGCCTATTTCGTGCAGTCTATTTCACGGTCATTAAGGCATGAGCAACACCATAGCAGGGTCCTTCAAACCCTGCCACCCCATAGAGCGGGCGGCGTTTGAGGCCGAGAAACACATTGTCGTCCAGCCGTTCGGATCCGACGGCCGTCAGTGCTATTCCCAAATATCCTAGACATGGATTGGCTGTCAAACTACACTGAGCAAGCTGTTAAAGCTTTGATCACGAATCACGTTTTGTGCTACATAAGATAAGAAGTTGGATGTAGTTTATTCTCTTGCTAGTTATTACAGAAATAGGACTTAGAATCAAGCAATTCAAGAATAAACAAGAAACAGTAGGAATAGCCTTATCCCTCATATAAAAACAAAGAGAATAAAGATATAGATGTTTTCCTATTTTGAGAGCACGCTTTCATCAAAACAAACAGCGCAAGTAAATTCTGCTATTTGAATGCATCTTTATTCAATTTCCCCATAACATTGAGGAACATATTTAATTAATACAGAAATTGTGTTGTCTAGAGCAGTCTTTCCACTTAAAAGTGTACCAATAGTTGTAAGTGGTCTTATCTCCTCATATGTGATGCTTGCTTAACACCATCAAATGTGGAACATTCCCTTTAAGCCATATAGCATGCACTATTGCACCCCTGCATCCTTGGATATCAAAGTGGAAGGAAGGTTGGATGGGTTCCATGCATATCTTAGTTTGTGAGTCACATAGGACAGGCCTCAGGGGCCGGAAAAAAAATTAAAGGGGGTTAACCCATTTGCTTGAGGATGGCTCTTCCATTTCAGAGCAAAAAATTTACTGTAAAAATGTTGAGCAAAAAGGCAAAAAGTCACCAGATTTAATGGTTGAATTAGAAAAGCCACTGAAAAGACCTGAGCCTAAAATGCAACAGGAATTAATAAAGTCAACAAGGATAACACAAAATGGAATAGTCAGAGGATGAAAAGTCCAAAGAGGCAAAGTTAATGAAAAGTCCAAAGAGGCAAAGTTAGACAGTTTCCTGTTAAGTTGAGAGGGGCCTGGAGCCCCCCAGCACCTTTGAGAAGAAAGTGTGTTGAATCCTGGCAGAATTCCATTTCCGGGCGCTTTGAAGGCAGGTTGCCCTTTTTCCCGCCTATACCAACCCCTCTCACCTACACATTATATCACTAAATGAAAATTATGTTACATCACACTGAAGTATCTGCCACCCTGTACTACTAAAATGCATTTATCTTGCAACCTTTAAAGATCCAAAACATGGCAAACGTGACAGCATGGCACCCACCACCACTACCTCAAATAACATGCAATTAGAGTGTCAGTCCCAGTATGTAAGATGTATGATGTGTAAGATGTATTATTTAAGGTACATGCAAGAAATGTGCGATGGGTATCTACCCAAAAGTTGAGCCCCGTCCAGTTGATCACAGACAAGCAAATGGGCGCGGCACACCTCAACCACCCGTGGTCCACAATTAACGCACCTCACCATCAGGTCATGTGCAAAGAGTAAAAAAGCTTCAAGAAAGCGCTCTCTGTTGTACTCTGGACAAAAATAGCCAGATATAACTTTCAATTCTTAGAAATGCAGGACTTACCCTGCCCTCACACCCAAGAATGCAGCGTACAAGGTGCTGTATTTGGCGGAACTCAATACTTCATTTTCTGGCTTTGACCAAAGGTCCAAATGACGTCACTAGAATGATCACCTCTTAGCGTTTTTGGTTTCTACCTTTTTGGGGGGGGGGGCGAGCGTCCTAGGTTTAGCGCTAGGGGGGTAGTTTAGTCCTATAGCGTTTATGAGCGTATGAGCGTTTAGTCCTATAGGGGGGTAGGGGCGAGCGAACCCACGAACTTTATCCATCCTATTTCCGAAATTTATTTCTTCACAAATTTTATCTATTTTACTCTGCAGCCATAATTTAGCCATAGTATAGAAAAGAAAATCCTCTCATTTCCGTTTTTTAATATGAACTCAAAGTTTCTGCGTTGAGCCAACGACTTTCGCTATCTCAAAAGATACTGGTTGAACGGCATTGTAGTGCTTAACAACGAGTATATTGTAGGTACTAAAAATTTCGATCTGTGCCCATCCTCAAGGGGTCAGCTCTTGAGAATGGGCAAGAGACAGCAGATGGAGCTTGTGAAAGTTTCTTCATAGACGCCCCATAGCTTCCGAAAATTTGCTACACCGATCTTGCGCCCCGCTTTGGTTCCAAGACGTGTCATTTACAGAAGAGCCAGCCACTATCTGGCCACAACATCTGCCTGCCATAGTGTACAAGGCACATACCCTTAAATGGTACTGCTTCGAGGCCGCTCCATGAGGTTGCGGGAAGGCAACGATTTTAAGTGGCTGTTGGGCTTCTCTCGGAAGTGACAGCCACTACGGTTCAAGAAGATTTCATAGAATGGCGTGATGGCAATGCTCCAGGACTGCCTTAAGCTGATGGCCTCATTCTGCTTGTAATCGAACAGTATAGACAGGGTTGTATCTTGAGAGTGAGTGGGAGAGGGCGTGAGACCATGTCACTCTCCCTCTTTGGCCAATTATGAGGTTTTACACTCATGGTGAAAGAATACCAAATTATAATTACAAAACTATACAGCCTTTGTTTCCAAGAGGTACCAAACTTCATCGAGACTGCAAAGAGTCATCAACTTTCATGTTCAGGAGGCACCGAATTCAACACGCGCTCAGGTGGGAATTCAATTTGATCCTCGCGAAGATTTTTCCAGAAAGGTTTCCGAATGACGCGACGTAGCTGAGCCAAATTTTACATAGCTAAAGACACTTGAATAGCGGATCGCTCGGTATCAAAACTTAAGATGCACATCGTAAGTTTGCTGACCTACGACAGGTCAAAATCGTGCCATGTATTCGTGCCGGAGTGAGAAACGAAGCCATACATCTCTGAGATGCTTTCTTAGACAACACAACAATTGAACGAACAATTCCATTAACCTGGGACCAGGTAAGAAAGCCAGACCGAGGTCAAAACAAATCTGCTTTACAACTTTAGGACCTGCTTTATGCGGTAGTTTCTGGTGCTCATTTCGTGTTTATTGATAACAGGAACCGCATCATGCATCTTTCGTGAGCTTCTCAAATGTCAAAACAGGTAAGCGACCTGAAATGACCCAGGTCAACACTTTAATTTTAGAGGTATGCAGCATAGCGTTAACTTTTTCGTTTATTCAAATGCAAAACTCAAAGCAGTCTTGCATGATTTTGGTCACCACTTCCTTAGAAAGGTCAAACAAGGTCAATGACCTTAAATGAGCATGTAACTTTTTGCTTAGAGCATGTATCTAGGTTTTGGAAGGCTTTGGAGATCCACCTGAGTTTGACCTTATCTGAACTTATTTAACCCGAAAGTCGATATTTTGGAACCTCAAACGTTGACCTAAGTAAGTTGACGTACCGACCAGCACACCCTGTGGACTTGGTATCTTTTGAGCTCTTTTAGTTCCTGAGATCTCAGCGGTGTCAAATTGATCTCTCCCCCACCCGAGCGAAGGGTATCCAACTGGCCGCCTGTGCGCGTTTCAAGGGTCACTGCAATAGGTGTGCTCTGTCCGCTTGACAACATCTTGGATCGGCCCATTCGGCAAAGGAGTACTTGACCCATTATTTCCGACACCATAACCTTGATTTTCAATGCGCGCCTATCTCCAGAGTGCATCAAGCTTTCATTTGCATGTTCTGCCCCCCCCACGCAGAACGAAATCCTGGAACAGCTCGGGCCACCATGACGGGCCACCATACGGGTCATTTGAAGGAACCCGATATCTCAATTTTCTAAGGGTACCAAAATCAGGGGCACCAATCACCACCAATCAAAACACAACTTCTTTGCCTTCCACCCGAACGAAATCCTAAGTCTGGCCTCTCGGAGAAGAGATACCTAGTGGCTTCATTTCGGGCATCACGACTTGCATTTTGAAAAGGCACCCACTTCTAGGGAGGCAACACGACGGCCTCCAAACCCTTTTATTTCAAATGACCTCAAGCCGCAGAGGGCACAACAATTGCTCCATTTTCTTCACGAGAAACCGAGGGCCCCGATGTTGACTTGAGGACTGACCCAGAGGTCCCGGTCCCGAGGGTCCCGAGAACCCCTTTGAGTCCCAAGGGAACGGCTATCAAGGGTCCGATCGAAGGATCCGAAGAGCAGGCCCATGATGAAGGGTCCGAAGGGCCTCTTTGAGGAGGTACCCGTTATAAGCTATGCTGCCCTGTCCTGCCGTTAGGAGGTACCCTCTATATTTAGGAGACTGCATTTCTGGAAAAGGAGGCCTTTTCAAATATCAGATGGCCGCAGTTCCGAATAAGGATGTGCTGTTTTGCGAAAAAGAGGCCTCTTTTCTAGATCTGGAGGCCCCTTCATGAATCGGAGGTATCCTATTCTGAGTAAGAAGGCCCCTCTTTGCATCAGGAGAGAAGGTCCCCATCTTGCTGTTTTAAATGCCGACTCTAATGTACTTGGATATGATGCATGCAGCAGTTTGCTAAAGGAGTACATGCCCTCGCCCCCCCCCCCCCCCTCATTGAATACAACTGCGCTGTCTCTGGCGAGCATCAACATCTCTGCAATCCAACCGTCGGGACTGTGCACGCTGCTCCGACGCACATCTGCGGACCAGAGCACCGCCACGACTCAACCGTCGAAGACGCACTTCTCGCGGGCACATCTGCGGACCAGAGCACCGCCACGACTCAACCGTCGGAGACACACTTCTCGCGGGCACATCTGTGGACCAGAGCACCGCCACGGCTCAACCGCCGAAGACACACTTTTCGCGGGCACATCTGTGGACCAGAGCACCGCCACGGCTCAACCGTCGGAGACACGCTTCTCGTGGGCACATCTGCGGACCAGAACACCGCCACGGCTCAACCGTCGAAGACGCACTTCTCGCGGGCACATCTGCGGACCAGAGCACCGCCACGACTCAACCGTCGAAGACACACTTTTCGCGGGCACATCTGTGGACCAGAGCACCGCCACGGCTCAACCGTCGGAGACACGCTTCTCGTGGGCACATCTGCGGACCAGAACACCGCCACGGCTCAACCGTCGGAGACACACTTCTCGCGGGCACATCTGTGGACCAGAGCACCGCCACGGCTCAACCGCCGAAGACACACTTTTCGCGGGCACATCTGTGGACCAGAGCACCGCCACGGCTCAACCGTCGGAGACACGCTTCTCGTGGGCACATCTGCGGACCAGAACACCGCCACGGATCAACCGTCGAAGACGCACTTCTCGCGGGCACATCTGCGGACCAGAGCACCGCCACGACTCAACCGTCGAAGACACACTTTTCGCGGGCACATCTGTGGACCAGAGCACCGCCACGGCTCAACCGTCGGAGACACGCTTCTCGTGGGCACATCTGCGGACCAGAACACCGCCACGGATCAACCGTCGAAGACGCACTTCTCGCGGGCACATCTGCGGACCAGAGCACCGCCACGACTCAACCGTCGAAGACACACTTTTCGCGGGCACATCTGTGGACCAGAGCACCGCCACGGCTCAACCGTCGGAGACACGCTTCTCGTGGGCACATCTGCGGACCAGAACACCGCCACGGCTCAACCGTCGGAGACACACTTCTCGCGGGCACATCTGCGGACCAGAGCACCGCCACGACTCAGCCGTCGAAGACACACTTCTCGCGGGCACATCTGCGGACCAGAGCACCGCCACGGCTCAACCGTCGAAAACACGCTTCTCGCGGGCACATCTGCGGACCAGAACACCGCCACGGCTCAACCGTCGAAAACACGCTTCTCGTGGGCACATGCGCGGCCGAGCCGGGTTGACCAGAACACCACTGTAGCGTCACTGCGATACCACAGCCACTGGTAAAAACGAACGATGGTAAAGTGATGACAATCGGTAAACGAATTTAGATGTCAACATAGATAAATTTTACGACTACATCAATAAGAAGTCAATACAAGACTCAGCGTGAGAACTGAGCAGTCACATGTGAGCTTGACGCGTCAACACTCTTTCAAGCCGTGCGGTATACTCTAGGTCGACATGGTCATTAAGCTCAAGGCTTGAAATAACGTAGCGAATAAGGTACTAGCTCATGTTGGTGGTTCCATGCACAATTGTGCAGCACGAATGTTGTCTCTCCTTTGTACATTTGTGTGGCATAAGTGCTTCTGTCCTATACAAAATTGTGCAGCTCGAGTATTTTGGTGTCAAGGTCATACTATAAGAGTATCTCTATTCCGTGAGGTGAAAGATAATGCTGCACCGATATGGTATAGGAAGGGTAGACCCGCTCGATCCTGACGCCCCACTGTGACCCTGCACGAGACTTTGTAATCCGCGGGCGTGTATGTGCGAAGAGTAGCCCTTCACCAGGCACCATGCGAGTAGAGCTGCGGCTCTGTTGCACTGCCTGGTCGGGTGGCTCCTGCGTTGGCTGCTTGTTCGTCACCTGATCACTGCCCCCCCCCCCCCCCTCTCCCGTCTCGGTCGTGGTATTTCTAGAAGTCCTGGTGATAACTATATCCCGTTCTTTTTGCCGCATTCTTTAGTTGTCGTTTTTTGTACCTGGGATTATTGTTTTGACCGACTCTTTATTCGCTTCCTTGTGTTTTGTCAATATTTTCTG